TCCCAGCCCTGCAGAAATTAACAGGTGCCATCTGCACTTCCCGCACCCGGAGCTGCTGCTGCTGTGGAAATATCCGGGGGAGGGAAGGAGGGCAGGGAGGAAATAGCATTCCTGATAACACGTGTGATAACCCGGCGAGAACCCCGGTAAATATTTTATTTTTATGACGTCTCGTGAGTGCACTGAAAGGCTTTTGCTGCTTTTATCGGGTTGTTTTGCCTTCCCTAAACACGTGTGAATTTCCCTGGGTGTGGGAGGCTGGGGAATGTGGCAGGAGCAGGGATTGCTGCGGAGTGCCCATCACAGCCTTGAGCCCCCCCTTTGCACCCCCAGCTTCCTGAGCTGCAGCGGTTTTGGTGCCCTGATAAAGGAAAAATCTATTATGCACTCCGTTCCCAGCTGGGGGAGGCCCCTGCCCTGCGGCTTAATTGGGAATTGCTGGCTGTCATTAATTACCAGGGCCGTGCTCTGAGGTTTGGGTGTTGGTGCTCAGAGGAGGCAGAGCTCCTGTGCAGCCCTCCTTGGCGAGGTGTGCCAAAAACTGGGCATTGTTCTCCCCTTTCTCCCTGTGATTCCCTTTATTCCACGTCCTGATTTTCCTATTGCACCTCCAGGTGTGCCTCGGGATTCCTGAGAGGGTCTGGGCTGTGTCAGGCTGCCCAGGGCACACCTGGGTTACCTGCAGAGCCTTGGGCTCCTGAAGGCTCAGCTGGAGCTGCCCATGGGCGGAAAACCTGGAATTATGGCCCAGGAGCTGTTTGGGCAGGCCCCTCTCACTGTGTCCTCCCTGGATTTTCCTAATTCATGGCTCAATGTCATTTTTTCAGTGGAAACCTCCTCTTTGCTGATAAGGCGCTTTTGGGGTGTTCCTGTAATTTTTGTGGCTTTGGAGATGCTTTCCAAGAGGAAAGTGACTTGATAGTCAATAGCTTGAGGCCAGTAACTGGCTCCAGCCATTTGCCTTGCAATATCTTTGCTTTTTAAGACTTCTAAGTGAATTTCTAAGGGTAACATTGAAAAAATGGAGGCCACAGCAAAATCTTCATTGACGCTCAAACCAGCTTGAGGCGTTCCCCCTTCCTTCAGTTGTACGTGCATGGAGTGTGCAAAACAAAACCAAATTGCTGTGAGTGGTAAATTGTTTTGCCAGGGTATCACCTTTGAAACCGAACTCTGGTGCTAAGTGCAGGTGATTAACATGATTAGGTGTGAAGGAGCCATAAGACATACTCATTAATGCCCCTGTCTTTACTTCTCTGCTTATTCCAAGTGTTGGACCCTGGTGAGCCACAAAAAGGGTGATTCTTGCCCCAGCGGGTGACTGTGCAGTACACGGCAAGCTGAAAGTACATGGCAGGGAATATATATATATTTTTTCTTTTTGCTTAATAGTGCTTCAGACCTTTCTGATATGTGCTGCAGAGTCTCCTGCAGGTTGTGACCCCAGCGCTCTGCTTCTGGCAGTGACTTCCTAGAAATAGCTGTTTTTTATATATATATAATGTAGTAATTTAAATAATTTAAATGATGTAAGCAATCCAGGCAGGGCTGCTGGGGGGCCTGCAGGGATGAGGAGCAGGGATTGCCTGTGGCACAGCCAGCTCACCCAAAAACCCCAACAGAGCCAGTGCTGCTGTCCCTGTGTGCCCCAGCAGGGTGTGTTCCCAGGGCCACTGTCCCTTATCTGCCCCCTCCTGCTGCAGCTGCACAAGGGCAGCGGCCTCTTCCACAGGGACCTGCTGCCCGCTATTTTCAATCTTTTTTATTTAATTTTAATTTTTTTTTAAAGACAAACCTTTATTTATTGCTCTTTAAGTTTTTACAGGCTTCAAGAAAAACAATTAAAAAAACAACTTTCAAATTCTATCACAAGGACGTATAACTAACTACATAAAAAGTATCCTTAGCTTACTGTTAATAAAAAAATTCAAGACAACAAAATGAGAAAGATGATAAAAGAAAGGGACTGCTACAGCAGCCAGTAGAGAGTCAGCTGTCCTGTGGAGCAAACAGGACAGCATTAGACTGCAGCTCAAGGTCCTCGAACAGTGGGCTGGGTTTTGTTTCTTATTCATTTCCTCGCCGACTCTTTTTGTGAGTTTTCTTAGATCGTTCAGGTGATTTGGAATGACTTCTGTGTCTGTGACTGCGGTGATGCCCTGGAGATCCAGACCTCGCTCTGCGGCGCCTCTCCCGGGATCGGCTCCGGTGCCGCTCCCGGCGCGGGGATGCGCTGCTTCTCTTCGGGGAGCGGCTGCGCCTCCGGGGGGAGCGGCTGCGCCGGTAGCGCACCCCCGGAGACCTGCGCGGCCTGTCCGGGTCCCTGCAGCCCCTTCTGCGGGGGTCAGGAGATGGGATCCGTTCCAGCTTTTCATCTTCTTCCTCCTCCTCCTCGCTAGATTCTACATCATCCACGTCTTCCTCCAGAGCACTGACACGAGGCTCAAGTTGCTCGGCTTCTTCCAGAACATACCGTTTCTGCAGTCGAGGCAGGATGATGTCGCAAACACGCTCCTCGTGGAGTAGCTCGTCAATAAATTCATCCACGTGCATCAGCTCAAATTCCCCGTTCCTGTTCTGACTTTTAATTTTGCGGTAGTCGTTGTACAGCGGCTCCAGGTACTTGTAGCAGTCGATGGCAGTGCCCGTCAGTCTCATGTACAGCGCTCCAAGCATTCGGACATACTTGAAGTCTTCGTTTTTTATGAACTCCACGATGATGTCCTTCTCGGGCTGGATCTGCAGCATCTTCAGCGTCAGGCACAAGAAGGGCGCGGGTTTAATGTTCCCTCCGTAGACTCCCCCCACGTATTTCAGCTCCATGGCCTTGTCCACCACCAGCTCGGCCGTGAGGCCGAAGCATTCCTCCTTCCAGTACTTGGACTCGTAGATGCGCGTGCGGACGATCTTCTCGGCCAGGTACTGCGGGTTGGTGCCGTGGATGCTGCGCGCGTCCTTCACCGTGCGGTTTGCCATGGCGGCCGCCCCAGCTCAGCCCCGCTCCCGTCCGCGCCGCGCTGCTTTCCGCCGCTTTCCGCTTCTGCTCCTGCCTTTTTATCCGCAGGGGCTGGCGGGGACGGGATCGCTCGGAGAGGCGGGGACGGGATCGCCCGGAGAGGCGGGGACGGGATCGCCCGGAGAGGCGGCGCTGGCTTGAGCGGCGCCGCCCCCTCCCATCCCCCGGAGAGAGAGAAGGGAGGGAGGAGAAGGCTCGGGAGAAAAAGCAAAAAAAGCTTCTTCGCGCGGCCAAGTTTCGCCCGCCCCGCCGCGAAGCCGGGGGGGCCGGGAAACCCCAACCCGGGGACGGTGGGAACGGAGCCTGCCCGTAGCAGTTAGAAATCCATTGGAAGGCGGCTGCTCTGCGTTTCAGCACTGGGAAGAGCTTTATGAATGCTGGGTATACAGGAGGCAAAAGACGCCCCTCCCTCCAGACGAACTGGATAATGGAATTCAGGCATTCCCAGACAAAAACATCCAAAGCGTACAGGACATCAGTAAAGAACCCAAAAAGCTTTGCCCATCGAAAGAACTCATAGAGATCTGTTGCTGACACCCTGCACAGCCTGGAGAGACTGGGAGTGCTGGAAAAGCAGCTGGGGTGGCTCTGGAGCTCCGGGCTGGTGCTGCACCGTGTGGAATAAATGAATAAATGGTGAAAATTGCCATGGAAACCTCAGGATCTGCTGAGGTTTGAGATCTACTGCTTGAGACCAGTGACTTGCTCCCATCACAGGGCTCCTCCATCACGGGGCTGGTCCCCGTGCTGTGCGCTGGGTTTGGGTGTGGGACAGCCCTGAGCATGCTGATGGGGTGGGAGACACCTGCCTCTGATGCTGAGGTGTGCCCCAGCGCTCCTGGAGGCAGCAGGACAGGGGGATTGTGCCCCTGTGCCCCTGAGCCCAGCGAGAGCCCACCTGCAGCCCTGGGCACACAGCAGCAGCACCTGGAGAGAGCCCAGAGGGGGCTCCAGGGTGAGCAGAGGGATGCAGCAGCTCTGCTGGGAAGGCTGAGGATGGGGATTGTTCAGGCCAGGCTAGAGGAGCTCCAGGGTGAGCTGAGTGTGGCCCTGCAGCACCTGGAGGGATCTACACAAAAAAATGGAGACTATTTACAAGGGCTCAGGACAAGTCTGCCTCAAACCAAGAGAGAATGGATTTAGATGGGAGGTTAGGAAGAATTCTTTGGCCCTGGATGCCTGGCAGTGCCCAAGGCCAGGCTGGACACTGGGGCTGGGACACCCTGGGACAGCGGGAGGTGTCCCTGCCCATGGCGGGGGGTGGGAATGAAAGGAGCTTTAAGGTTTTTTCAGCCAAAACCATCTGTGATTCCATGATTCTATCCCCGTGCAGTACCTACTGTCACTATGGCAACCTCAACCAGGACATGCTGTGGGACTGGGACGCTCTGTGGGACTGGGATGCTCTGTGGGGTGGGATGCTGTGTCAGACGAGGATGCCGAGCAGGATGAGGATGCTCTGTGGGATGAGGATGCTCTGCAGGATGAGGATGCTCAGATGAAGATGCCCAGCGGGATGTGGTCCCTCCGAGCCTGCTGCTCAGTGTCAGGCAGTGCAATTGGATCTGGTGCCGCCGGGGAGGGCTGTGATCCCCACTAATGGCTGTGGAATTGCCATCTGGAATCGCTTCTCAGCGAGCGGCGCGCCCCCAGGGCAGCTCGCTGCCCGCTGCCCTCCCGGGGGAGCACCGGACGCTGCGGGCGCTGCCGGGCGGTCCCGGGCAGGGCTGCAGGCGTCCCTGGGGCCGGGCAGTGCCGGTCGGCGGGAGCAGGGCACACCCGGCACACACGGGACATTTTCGGGGCGTTGTTTTCGCCCCGCGGCGGAGGCGGGACGCGAATCCGCGGTCCCCGCTGGCGGTGCCGCTCGCGGAGGCTGCCGGGAGTTGTAGTTCCCGCGGCGTGCCCCGTGGTGCCCTGCGCGCCGCGAGGACTGCAATTCCCGTGGTGCCGCGCGGCGGGGCGCGGCCGGGGCGGGGCGGGGGCGGGCGCTCCCGTTAGTCGCCGTTGCTCCCGTTAATCAGCGCCGGCAGCGATAAAAGCCGAGCCCCGGGAGCCGCGACCGCCCCTCGGCCTCCTCCGCCTCTCTTGTCTCCATAGGCGATGCGCGGCGCGGCGGCGGAGTGAAGGAGCGGCGCCTTTTCCGTCCTCATCCTCCTCTTCCTCCTTCTCCTCGCCGCCGCCACCATGGGCGACAGCGGCGCGCCCGGGGACGTGAACTCCAACGTACTGGTGTCTCGCAGCACCGGGGACGCGCAGCTGGACAAGGCCGTGTGGCAGTGGCTCAGCTGGGACAAGGTGGGCGAGCGGCGACAGCGGTGACAGCGACAGCGGTGACACCGCCCGGCCGGGCACAGCGCGGCCCCGGCTCCGGGGTGGGGTGTCCGGGTACCTGCGGCACCGCCCGGTGCTCACCTGGGCAGGGATGGGGATGGATGGTGCCATCCCTGCACCTGGAGCGCTGCCTGGCACTCACCTGGGCAGGGATGGGCATGGGGATGGTGCCATCCTGATGCTTACCTGGGCAGGGGTGGTGCCATCGTGGTGCTCATCTGGGCATGGATGGAGCTGGGGGTGGATGGATGGTGCCCTCTCCACACCTGGAGCACTGCCTGGTGCTCACCTGGGCAAGGATGGGGACGGAGGGTGCTCTCTGCACACCTGGAGCACTGCACCTGCCCCACCTGCTCCTCCTCGGGCTGGGGATGGATCAGCGACTGGTGAAAATGCTGTGTGAGTGTGTTTTTCCCAGGAAAGGCACAGCCCAGGTTCTGGCATTCCCCTTTTCTTGTCAGCCCCAGCACGGTGTCAGGCTCGGTTAATTCACATTAAACCACCCAAGCCATGGTAACAGTGTGGTATTGGAGGGTGCTTTGCCTGTCCTGTGGTTGAAAGGGTTACTTTGGGTTTTCTGAGGGTTTTTTTCCGGCTGGTTTGTCCAACTATCGTGGCCTGTGCTTTAAATAAATACCTTGATGCTGGGGGAGGGTGAGCTGCCAGTGCACCAGGGGTTTGGGCTTCTGGCTGCTTTTCCTTCATTTTTATTTTAGCTTTCTCTCTCCTGAGCCCCTTTTGCCTTTATTTTTATCAGCCACAGCAGGCGGTGTTGGCTCTGTTTCCTCTCCAGCCTCACCCTGCCAGGATCAAAGGGGGAGAGCTGCAGGCAGGTGGCACCTGATGGCTCTGAGAGGATGGAGCCTTCTCCTGCCTGGAAATGTGGGGTCTGTTCCTCCTGGAGATGTGGTTTATTCCTCCTGGAGATGTGGTTTATTCCTCCTGGAGATGTGGTTTATTCCTCCTGGAGATGTGGTTTATTCCTCCTGGAAGTGTGGGGTTTGTTCCTCCTGGCAATGTGGTTTATTCCTCCCAGCCCTGCAGAAATTAACAGGTGCCATCTGCACCTCCCGCACCCGGAGCTGCTGCTGCTGTGGAAATATCCGGGGGAGGGAAGGAGGGCAGGGAGGAAATAGCATTCCTGATAACACGTGTGATAACCCGGCGAGAACCCCGGTAAATATTTTATTTTTATGACGTCTCGTGAGTGCACTGAAAGGCTTTTGCTGCTTTTATCGGGTTGTTTTGCCTTCCCTAAACACGTGTGAATTTCCCTGGGTGTGGGAGGCTGGGGAATGTGGCAGGAGCAGGGATTGCTGCGGAGTGCCCCTCACAGCCTTGAGCCCCCCCCTTTGCACCCCCAGCTTCCTGAGCTGCAGCGGTTTTGGTGCCCTGATAAAGGAAAAATCTATTATGCACTCCGTTCCCAGCTGGGGGAGGCCCCTGCCCTGCGGCTTAATTGGGAATTGCTGGCTGTCATTAATTACCAGGGCCGTGCTCTGAGGTTTGGGTGTTGGTGCTCAGAGGAGGCAGAGCTCCTGTGCAGCCCTCCTTGGCGAGGTGTGCCAAAAACTGGGCACTGTTCTCCCCTTTCTCCCTGTGATTCCCTTTATTCCACGTCCTGATTTTCCTATTGCACCTCCAGGTGTGCCTTGGGATTCCTGAGAGGGTCTGGGCTGTGTCAGGCTGCCCAGGGCACACCTGGGTTACCTGCAGAGCCTTGGGCTCCTGAAGGCTCAGCTGGAGCTTCCCATGGGCGGAAAACCTGGAATTGTGGCCCAGGAGCTGTTTGGGCAGGCCCCTCTCACTGTGTCCTCTCTGGATTTTCCTAATTCATGGCTCAATGTCATTTTTTCAGTGGAAACCTCCTCTTTGCTGATAATGCGCTTTTGGGGTGTTCCTGTAATTTTTGTGGCTTTGGAGATGCTTTCCAAGAGGAAAGTGACTTGATAGTCAATAGCTTGAGGCCAGTAACTGGCTCCAGCCATTTGCCTTGCAATATCTTTGCTTATTAAGACTTCTAAGTGAATTTCTAAGGGTAACATTGAAAAAATGGAGGCCACAGCAAAATCTTCATTGACGCTCAAACCAGCTTGAGGCGTTCCCCCTTCCTTCAGTTGTACGTGCATAGAGTGTGCAAAACAAAACCAAATTGCTGTGAGTGGTAAATTGTTTTGCCAGGGTATCACCTTTGAAACCGAACTCTGGTGCTAAGTGCAGGTGATTAACATGATTAGGTGTGAAGGAGCCATAAGACATACTCATTAATGCCCCTGTCTTTACTTCTCTGCTTATTCCAAGTGTTGGACCCTGGTGAGCCACAAAAAGTGTGGTTTTGGCCCCAGCAGGTGACTGTGCAGTACACGGCAAGCTGAAAGTACATGGCAGGGAATATATATATTTTTTCTTTTTGCTTAATAGTGCTTCAGACGTTTCTGAAATGTGCTGCAGAGTCTCCTGCAGGTTGTGACCCCAGCGCTCTGCTTCTGGCAGTGACTTCCTAGAAATAGCTGGTTATATGTTTATATATAAAATGTAATAATTTAAATAATTTAAATGATGTAAGCAATCCAGGCAGGGCTGCTAGGGGGCCTGCAGGGATGAGGAGCAGGGATGCCCTGTGGCACAGCCAGCTCACCCAAAAACCCCAACAGAGCCAGTGCTGCTGTCCCTGTGTGCCCCAGCAGGGTGTGTTCCCAGGGCCACTGTCCCTTATCTGCCCCCTCCTGCTGCAGCTGCACAAGGGCAGCGGCCTCTTCCACAGGGAGCTGGTGGCTCCTGACTGGGGCCTTGGCCTGGCCCTGGTGGGCTGTGCTGAACATTTACAGACACCAGGGAGATGGATTACGTAGGTGTCATTACGTAGATTGGGTCAGTATAATTTATTTTTTACTAATTTATATTGGGTTGGTGTAATTTATTTATTAGATATTAATTTATATTAGGTTGGTATAATTTAGTTATTACATATACATTTATATTGGGTCCATTTAGTTTAATTATTAAATACGCATTTGTGTTGGGTCAGTATCATTTAGTTATTACAGACACATTTATATTGGGTCGGTATCATTTAGTTATATATCATAATATACAATATCGTTTATTATATTGGTATACAATATCGATTATATGTGATCATATATAATTTGATCTCATATATATTATCATATATAATATATCTAATATATAATATAAGTTATTTTAATTTAGTTATTATATGTAATAATATATATCATATTATGTATAATTTAGTTACTATATATGACATTTAGTTACCATATATCCGTTTATATTAGGTCAGTATCATTCAGTTACTATATACACATTTATATTAGGTCAGTATCGTTTAGTTATTATATACACATTTATATTGGTTCAGGATTATTAATTTGTTATAGACACATTTATATTAGGTCAGTATCATTTAGTTATATACATGTATTGGTTAGTAAAAATTATTGATTATATACACCTTTATATTGGTTTGGTGTAATTTATTATATATACGTTTATATTGGTTTGGTATCATTTATTATATACACATTTATATTAGGTAGCCTAGATTTATTATGTACATGTATGTCTATTAGAGAGGTGTCATGTATTTTTTTATACCTGTATAAAGAAGTTGAAGTATTCCTAGTGCTTGAGGAGGGTGGTCAAATAAACAAATGTCTGGATTTTTTACAGAAATTTTGATGCTGATGGTATGGCTTGAAGGTGTGAGTTTGGCCTAAAATCTCTAAGGAACTTTTCTTTTTTGCTCTTGGGAAGAGGAGCGATCACAAAAGCCCCCGTGAGCCCTTCAGCTGTATGACTTGATTTCGTAACTGCCAAGCAAACCAGCAGAACCCCTGTTTTTGGGGTGTTTTTGGGATTTTTGGGGGTTTGCAGTGGGGTTAAGTGCCAGCAGGGTTGTGGAATTCCCAAGGCGGGGGGGGGGGGGGCAGATGGTGTTCAGAGCCAGGCTGGGTGTTGCAGGAAGGGAAATCTGCCTGTGACATTCCAGCCTGGGGGGAAAGGCAGGCTGGGCAGCTGGGGAGGAGTAAAGGTGATGCCAGGCTGGGAAAGGAGTAAAGGTGGTGCCAGGCTGGGATAAAGCAGCTGGGAAGGAGTAAAGGTGGTGCCAGGCTGGCATTTTATTCCTTAGGAAATTAAGTAGCTTCAGTCAAAAATGCTTGTTAATCTATTTTTAAATGGGATGTTTGTGCTGTTGCTGGAGCGTTGCCCGAGTTTTGCAGAGCTCCGTGAGCTGTGGGATGTGTGATTATTTCTGTGCTGTTTGTGCAGGGGAGCAGTGCAGTGTGCCCTCAAGAGCTGCAGAGGATGCTGTGTGATTTAATAACTGTGTTTTAAAGCCGAGCCATGCCCTGTGCTGGTGTGAAACGAGGTTTTCAATGCTCCTGCCCCTCAGACTCTTTTCGCATCAGTCATTTGCTTTCTGGCTGGCTGCCTGTGAACAGCTGAGGGAGACGCTTTCTCTTTGCAGTTTGGTGCCTGTTGTGCCCCATTGTTGTGGTTTGTTTTTGGGCTGTGTGGTGAGCAATGCCTTGCTCGGGTTGCCAGCCCATCCAGGAGCCTGGACAATAATGCCTTGCCTTTTATTTCAGAGCACACAGATACAAAAATAATAAACAAAAAGTTGTTTGAAATTCACATGTCTGGTGTTCAGGGTGTGCTGTCAAACTGCAGAAATAATTTCAGATTTCTCAATGCATTTTATGGATTGTTTTTCCTCCTGCAGAGCTTCCCCCTGGAGTGTGCTTCCCAGTGCTGCCTGACCCCTGATTTAAATGTCAGGGCAGCTTCAGCCCTGCCCTGCAGATGCCATCTGCCTTTTCTGACCTTTCCTTGCCACCCTGCTCGGGGCTGCTCTGCTCTGGAGGGGCCCTTGTGGGATGGTGATTGAGGGTCCCCAGGACGAGGGAAGGGAGGAGAATCTTGACTCCATGTCTCAGAAGGCTGATATATTGTTTTATGATATATTATATTAGAAGAAAGAGGGGACATCAGGAAGTTAGAAAGGGAAATAGTCAAATCTTGTGGCTGCTCACAGCCTCGACACAGGTGGCTGCCATTGGTCATCAAGCAAAAACAATTCACATGCTGGGTAAACAGTTCTCCAAATCACATTGCAAAGCAGCCAAACAGGGAGAAGCTGAAGCTTCCCAGGAGAAGGATCCTAGTGGAAGGATTTATAAAAGATGTCAGTGGCACCCCTGTGCCTCCAGAGCAGCGTTTTCCCACAGCAGGTGCTGTGTGTTCCCAGCTGTGTGAGCACTGGGTGGGTGGGATCTGGAAATGCCCTGCCCAGCAGGCTGGCTGCATTTCTTGGTGGCCAGATGGGTTCAGTGTGAGCTGGGTGGCTGAGGAACCAACAGCAGAGCTGTGCTGGGGCTGTGGGTTTAGGGAAATCCTGCCTGAGCAGGGGGATCAGTGGGTGAGAGCCCAGCCTGTCCACCCTGGAGGGGCTCAGGAGCCTGCTCCGGTGCCAGGTGCCCCTGCCCATGGAATGGGGTGGTCTCCAAGGTCCCTTCCAGCCCAAACCATCCTATGTTTTCTAGGGTTTTACTGTGCCTGTTTCCTGTGGGTGGGGAGGAAGGAAATGCTGCTTCGAGGTTTGGGTTTTTGCCTGTCCTCCAGGGGCAAAGATCAGGAATGGAATTGTGTTATCTGCCTTGGGAAAAACTGTTCCAAAGGCTCTGCTCCTCACACAGAGGGGCTGGGAGGTGTCCTAGTGACCGGACAGCTGCATGAGTGGCACCAGGAGCTCCTGAATCCTTTGTTAATAAGGATAATGTGGGAATAATGGGAGAAGCGAGTTACGGTGGAGGCCGGTGCAGGTGTTTTATAGCATAGGCGGGGTTTGCCCTAGGAATCGCCTGGCACCGATGGTGATGCACAGCTGAGCCCTAACTGGGGGGATGCCTGGGTGTGTGTTGCAGAACCCGAGGACGAGGGAGCAGATCGAGAGCCTGCTGCAGGACGGGAAGCACCGGGAGCTGCGCCAGCGCCTGTGCTGCCGCCTGAGCTTCGGCACGGCCGGGCTGCGCTCGGCCATGGGCGCGGGCTTCTGCTACATCAACGACCTCACCGTCATCCAGTCCACACAGGTGAGCTCTGGGGGAGCCCCTGACGCGGGGAGATCCTGCTGGGATGCTGCTGGAAGCCCTGAGCTGGGATGCTGCGGCGGGGGAAGCATGGCAAGCTCAGTGCTCAGGGCAGATGAGGTGGCTTGGAGAGCTTGGGCTGGGCTGGAATTTGGCCCCTGCTCAGTCTGCCTCACAGCCCTGAAGCTGGAGGTCTTATGAGCTGCCTTAAGCTCATAAGATATGTTTATCTATTTAATATATAAACACTTGTGTTTGTGTTATACTACAAAAACAAAGCGGCGAAAATAACCCAAAGGAAAGAGGCGAAGCCCCAACCAAACCAGCCTGTCCTTTTGTTTTCAGCACAAGTTGTGGGCTGAGTAAATGACATAAACAGTTTATTTGTGCCCAGCTCTAGTCTTGAATGTTGAAAATAGAACGGGCTGGGGTATTTGGAACACTTGTGCTTGGGAAACCAATAAAATGTTTGTTATGACAAAAGTACTGTGTTTTACCTGTTTTGACGGATACACTCCATTTCTATAAAAAGAATAATCAAAGGTAGTTTATGACATGGTTTAGCAAAGATTGGTACAGCCTTTCATTTAGTACTGTGCACCTGAACTTTCCAGCTGGTTTCTCTTTGCAGGCTGATGCTCTCCCCTCCCTCAGGACGTGTGACTGAAATGACAATTTCTGTTGGCCTAGGGTGGAGGGCTGTGCTTGGAGCAGCTGGGGCTCCCCAAAGCTGCTTGACATTGTGTTGTGTGAGCCGTCCAGCTGGAGCCCACGCTCTTGTGGAGAGGCCGAATTCCAGTGATGTTTGGGAGGCTTTGTGTCCAAGTGCTGCTTTGAATCCCAGCCTTCCCTCTGCTGGTTCTGCTCTGCATGATCTCCTTGGCCCTAACAAAAAGCCTCCTTTAGGTGTGTGACCTGCAAGCTGGACACACCCTGGGATGGTGATTCCTCCCCTGCTGCTCCAGGTGTGCCAGCCTGCTCTGCAGAGGCTGCAGCGGCATCAGCAGCTCCAGCTGGGCTCTGGGGGCAATGGGTGATGAAAGGGGTTTAAAATCAGTGTTGTGTTGCCAGGGGTGGGGTGGTTAAAAGCAGCCAGGCTGCTCAGAGAAGCCCCGTGTCCCTGGCAGCAGAGGGGGTTTTGGGGTGATTTCCCTGCCGTGGGGTTGGGGTGCTGCTGGCTGAGCCAGGCTCCTGGCACAGAGGGAGCGGAATTCCCTTTTCCTGGGCAGGGAGTGTGCTGGCAGGCTCGGTTGGGTGGCCCTGCTGGTTTTTGGGAGCTGCAGCCCGGGGTGGTGCCTGTGCTCCCTGTGCACAGCTGCTATTTTTGGGTGTTTGTTGGAGCTGCAGGGCTAATGGGCTGGGGCACGTGGCTCTGGGGGTGGGTTGGAGCTTTCTGGAGTAAACTGCAGCACGGTTCAGCCTTTTCTGAGCGCTTTGACAGCAGGAGCAGTCCTGCTGTGGGCATGGGCAGCCCTGGCTCTGGGCTTGCCCTTGCCTGCGACAGGAATAACTGGCCAGTCAAATATCAGACTTGTAATTAATACTTCCTTCAGTTAAAATAAGCTGTGGTGAAGTTGCACGAGTGTTCTGTGTCCTTCATTTGAGCTGGTTTCTTTTTGCTTGATTTGATTATATGTATATTATGACAAGTCAGGTCCAGGAAGGCACAGAATATTCAGTGCTTGCTCAGGGCTCTGCTGAAAATTGCAAGTTTTAAACTCCACGTAAAGCCCCGATTCCCTGGCTTCTCTCCTCCTTTGATGCATGTCCAGGTGCTTTTATTAGGGAAAGGAACCTGTCAGTGATGAGTGACAAAACCAGCCAGCTTTGCATCAAGGGGTTTCCTGCTGCTTAAAAAGCAGAGCTAAAGGTAAAAAATGAAAAATGTGAATGCTGGGCTTCATAAAGCTGTTCCTACCCCTCTGGATTTCATCAACCAAAAATCTTTCTTTTATTCTCGACACCATCACTGTTCCCTCACCTCTTTTGAACTTGAGCATTTGGGACCGGCCATGCTGTAGATGTGGGACCAGATCCTGCTCTTTTCCATGGATTCTGCATCAGGCAATCACCTGAACCACGCCGTGGGAGAGGCAATTGTGGTACTTGAGGCACCTGAGGAGAATTCTGGCTTAGATCTGAGTGCTGACACCTGCTAATGAGCCGTTAATTATCACCACCAGATGCACTTGTGCCTCCTTTAGAAGTGCTGGGGGTTTAACAGCTGAAGTAATTTGGGACACTATCAAAACCTGAGTCTTGTTAAGGGGAAATAGAAATTCTTTAAATTGAGACTCTTTCCCAAGGGAGGAGTTAACCCCAGAGGTGCTGGAATTCTGAACTGCCCTCGGGGGACCTGGGGGAGGATTGGTGCGAGCTCAGGCAGAGGGCTTGGGCAGTGGAGAGGCTCTGCACTCACTTCCTCACTGGCTTTTATTGATTTACTTTTGTTTCCTGCAGCTGTTGTGACAATGTTTGGATAGTAAGTCCCAAAGGACTGAGTTAAGTTCAGCTGTGCACTCTGGGGCTGAGCTTTTGGGGCTGATTTTGAGCAAAATGCTCCATAGCAGAAAGTGAAGACATTGCTGTTTTCCTTCATGCCAAATCTTAGCCCAAATAAGGTGTCTGCTATAAGAAATCTGCTGTTCATGTCTTCAGATGTTGTTCAGGTCAACTTGGAGAGTTTTCCCCATTGCTGTCTCCTCTCCTCACAGCTGTGAGAGGAAGCTTTGGCCGGGTGAGCCCTTGGTGTGTTTTGGGTTCAGTTTTGGGTTCAGGTGGCTGCAGCAGGCAGTCACAGCCTCCAGAGCTGCCACCATTCAAACAACTTGCTTTGTTTCAGTGATCACTGGGGCAAAACCACTGCTGCTTTTGTGAATATTATTGGAATAATTTTGTGAATATATTGGTGTGTTTGAGCTGGGTCTTGCCTGCTGACATGATCCATCCTTTGTGCAAGATCACCTTCAGTGTTTGTGTGTGCTGCAGCCCAGCTAATTCTCCTTTTCTCATGTTTTTTTGTTTTCTCCAGGGGATCTACACTTACCTGGAGAGAAACTTTTCAGACTTTAAGCAGAGGGGCTTTGTTGTTGGATATGACACACGAGGTCAGGTCACCAGCAACTGCAGCAGTAAGAAGTATGAGTATTGATTACATCTGCAAGACTAGAAATGAAATTGTGGCTTTGAATGCTTTCTGTCCTGTCAGCACTTTGTCTTTTGGTTTGGGATGAGCTGGGCACACTCTTTCCTCTCTCTGGGCACTGTTCCTAAACACTGTGGGGTGAGGGGTGCTGCTTTGCAGGGATATTTTTTAGGAGTATCTCTGCTTCCTGGGCATGGTGTGGAGCTGCTGGGCAGGGCTGGCAGAGGAGCTCTGTGTGGGATTCCCAATCCTTTCCCAACCTGCTGCTGCTGACATCTGGAACTCCCTGGGGAGCTGGGCCTGTCCTTGGGCAGGGGATGTGTGTTGTGTGTCTGTGTGTGGGATTTCTGCTTTGTTAACTGAGGGGCTGCCCTGCCCAGCAGCAGCTGGAGGTGCTGGCTCGCATTCTGCAGCTGAGAGCTCTGACCCTCACTGTGCACTTTGTGGGATAACACTCCAAGCATAAGCCAAAAAGCAGTGGAGTGCCTGAGGAAACGAGTGCCTGGAGGCGGCAGGAATTCCATGTGGCTGCTGGGCTGCCCTGGGGAGCTGGGCTGACTGGATGTTTTCTTTTTCCCCTTGGTAGGCTTGCAAAGCTCACTGCAGCAGTCCTGCTGGCAAAGGATGTGCTTGTGTACTTCTTCTCCACCTATGTCCCTACCCCCTTTGTGGTGAGTCACCTTCCCATCCTGTTGTTGCACCACACACTTATGGGGGTATTTGAATTTACTGAGTAAGAGAGTTAGAAATTTCCTTAAATTCTGTGATTTAACAGAAAAATGGAGGCTGCTTGGCACACCTGGCTCCTCAAGGAGGCTGTAACAAGGATGTCACCAAATTCCTCAGTGCCTCTGCTTTTAATGCCTCAAAACCAGGCTCTCCTGGTCGCAGCAGCTTTTCCTAGCATGGCTTTAAATCCTTGCTTGCATTCCATGAGCGTGCTGTGTGTCCTTGCTTTGAGGGGATGGACTGGACTGCCTGCAGAAACCTGTGACTGGTTTTCCAGCAAGCCTTTCTGTGAATCCCTCTGTTCTGTGTCCGAGGGCTGCACAATCCGAGTGTAGGCTTTCAGGTGGCCAATGAAGGATGGCGTTTCGGTAATTGATGTAAAGAAGGTTTTCATGGAGCGGAGTTAGCACCGGCTTTGTGCTGCCGGCTCCCGCTGGGCTGGGGCCCCCTGGGTGCTGTGGCAGGGTGTGGAGCAGGGCTGGGCTGAGCTGTCCCTGCTTCCCTTGCAGCCCTACGCCGTGCAGCAGCTGGGGGCCGTGGCGGGGGTGATGATCACAGCCTCCCACAACCGCAAGGAGGACAACGGCTACAAGGTGAGTGAGCCCTGGAGCCCGGCCAGGGACACCTTCCCCTGGCCCAGGCTGCTCCAGCCGGGCCCTGGAGCCCTCTGGGGTGTGCCAGGGCTCCCCTGGGGTGTGTGTGTCCATTGGAAGGATAAGTCATGTGAAATAACTCATCCTTCCACAGGCTGACGCATTGGTCTGTGGTGAGAGATAAGAGCACACAGTTTGTGTGTCTTGGGCATCAATCTGCAGTGCAATCCCACAGAGCCTAACCAGCAGCTGAAGAAGTGCCCCAGCACTTTGTGTGTTTGCTGCTGAGGCTTAGAACTCACTTTTTCACTAAGCCAGAGCTGAGGTGGATCCATGCACACAGCAGGGCACTGTGCTGAAGGTGGGGATGATTGAAGAGTGGATCAATAAAACACAGGAGCATTGGCTTTATTGGTTTTCTGGGCACTGCAGAGGGGTGGGTGGCTTCCCTTGGCAAGCTTGGGACAGTAAAACCATCCACAATAGCAGGTGCAGTGTTTTAACTGAGCGTGTCCTTCCTCAGCTCTATAAGAAGCTGAGCCAAACTCTCAACTTCAGCCGAGCATTCTAGAAGCCCTGTGTCAGATCAGTGAGTGATGGCAGTGTGAGGGAAGGCAGAGAGAGCTCCTGGGGGTGCTTGAGCTGCTCTTGCCTTCCCTGGAACACATTGAGTAGTTCTTCACCAGCCTTTGTTTGTGCTGAGCTGGAGCGGTGAGTGAGGAGAGAAGCCGCAGGCATTTCCCAGGTGCTCCATTTGTCAAGAAGCAATTTAGTGTTTGTGTCTTCTGATACAAACATACCGGGAGTTTGCAAACATATAATCAGTTCACAAAGAAGTAAACAGCAATTTGCTTTTGCCAGGACCCTGGTGTGTTTCCTGGTTTGCTTTTGCCAGGACCCTGGTGTGTTTCCTGGTTTATTTTTGCCATGATCCCAGTGTGTTTCCTGGTTTATTTTTGCCCAGGACCCTGGTGTGTTTCCTGGTTGATTTTTACCATGCTCCTGGTGTGTTTCCCAGTCTTTCCCAAGAGCTGTTTCATCTTTCCCAGTTTCCCATGGGAATTTCATGGTTCTGAAGGCTTTGGGCAATGCCAGCTGGAGGTGGCAGACGCAGAGGTGAGCAGGCAGAGGCAGATGATTGAGCAGAGCCTGCCCTGTGAGCCCAGACAGCCTGTTGGCAGCAGAGTGTGGGAAAAGTGGCCTCCGAGTCTGTAACAAAGGCTTTATTATAGCTGGGGCTAGATATGGAGTTTCCACTCTGGAGGGTGTTTGCAGCTGAGAGATTAGGGCTGTTCAGCTGTGGAAAAACACAGGCCTTGGCACCCTGCTTATCTGCTCTGCTCTGGGTTCAAACCCAGGCTGTGTTCCTCTCTCCAGAGGAATGCCAGCCTTGGGGAAGGTGGTGTTTTCCCTCTGTTACAGTGTGCACAGCACTCCCACATGAAAGTGCATGGTTTTGGTTTCTCACATCCTGATATTTCAGCTGTGATAGTTCAACACCAGCTTTTGTGAAAACAGTTGTGTTGCTGTGTGATCTCCATTTATCAGTTGTGAGCTCAGATGTTCATGCTGGATGACTCCAAATGTCTTGAGCATCAAGCCAGTCTGATGCTGAATGCTCTGTATGGCTTAGGAACAAAGTAGGTGGAATCCTTTAGCTCAAAGAATTTATCAGGTTAATCATCTTTGCAAATAAACTGTGTCTTGTTTTCCTGCCTCTTACCCCAGGTTTACTGGGAAAATGGAGCACAGATCACCTCTCCTCACGATAAGGAAATTATAAAATGCATAGAAGAGTGTGTGGAGCCATGGAATGGCTCTTGGAATGAAAACCTGGTGGACACCAGTCCCCTCAGGCAGGATCCTCTGAAGAAAATCTGTGACAGCTACATGGAGGACCTGACCAAGATCTGCTATCATAGGTATGGTATAAAGCAAGAAGTTATGTGTTTAAGTGAGCTTTGGGTTGCATGTGGAAAAACTGACTGCAGACAGACTGCCCTGTGTTCCCTGAGGTGTCATAAAATTCAAGGGTCACCATCCTCAGGGTTAAACCTCTTGGTTGAGAATAATAATGAGAATAATCTGCCCTTGGGAATTAAGGTTCTGTGAAACATCCCAGTGGAAACCATTTAATGCAAGTGCATGTGCTCTGAGAGTTCTGAATAAAATGCAGAAATTCAGAGTAAAAGTGAGGTGCACATGCATAAAATAGATTGAGTCTGAAGGTTTGGTGGGGCAGAGGATGAGAATGAAAGGAGGAGGATGGATGGCTTGAAGCAGAGCTGGAATAACATTTTAAGGTGGTGGAAGAGCTTGAGTTTGATGTAGAAATCAACAGTTTATTCTTGGGAGACTTTGATCTGTCTCAGCAGAAGGTAAATACTTCATCTTCCAGGAGAAGCAGCTCTAACCCAGCGATTTCTAGTGCAACATAAGCACTTTCTGTGATTCCTTTGAAATTAATGCAGCAATCAGCAGGGCAGCGCACAGAGGAATTGCGGTTTACTTTGCCTTCCCTCATGAAAGCAGTGCTGTTGGAGAGCTCAGGGGTCCAGCTGAAGCTGTGTTTCCCCCGCAGGGAGCTGAACGTGCAGAGCAGTTTGAAGTTTGTGCACACCTCGTTCCACGGCGTGGGCCATGACTACGTGCAGATGGCCTTCAGGGCCTTTGGCTTCCAGCCCCCCATCCCAGTGCCCGAGCAGAAGGACCCAGACCCCGACTTCTCCACGGTCAAGTGCCCCAATCCTGAGGAAGGAGAGTCTGTGCTGGTATGCTGGTTTCTACTCCATCTGATTTCTGTGGGGAGAAAACAATCTGAGGGAGAGAACAGGGGGAAATCCATGGGGGGATTTCTTTTAGATGTAAGTAGGAACGCTGTTTGTTTATTTACTTTTGCATTTCGGTGTTTTTTGTTCCTCCTTCTCCCCCTAGGAGCTGTCACTGAGGCTGGCAGAGAAAGAAGGTGCCAGAGTGGTGGTGGCCACTGATCCAGATGCAGATAGGCTGGCAGTGGCGGAGCGGCAGGACAAGTGAGTGGTGGGACCCTCTCTTGTGTCTCCCTGCAGAAAAGGTGGTGGCAGTCACAGAACATCCCCAAATTGCCAGGCACAGGCCTTCAATCCACTCTTTTCCTTTTTCCTTCGAGTTTTATCATTTGGTACTACTCCAAATGTATTTTGAGTCAATTCACCCAGCAAAGAGTAGATTAAATACTTAATGGTGTAATGGTAAATGGCCAAACAAAGCTGAGCTGAAAACTGAGTGGTTGCTGAAGGCAGTAAAATCATTTTGCTTGCTGTGTTTTCATTTATATCAGCCATACCTTCCTTGGTGGTTCTCATGGGCTTCTTTGGTGGAGTGGGGTTTTTTGTTTGTTTTGTTATTTTTAATTGTAATCCCTTCTTTTCCCCTGCTTGTTCATACTGAACAGGAGTTACTTTTCTCCCACTAACAGGCCCCAGTTCTGATGGCTGTGTAAGTAAAGGCTGAGCAGGCCCTGCCTGCAATGCTCAGGTTGCTTGGCCTGCCCGGCGTGGGTCAGTTCTGGCCTGCTCCCTGCTGCTGGGTCACCCAGAGAGCAGACCCTGGGGCTCTCTTTGGGCCCTGGCCTTGTAAACCCTTGAGGTGTGATGGCTGTGCAGTCTGTCAGTAGGGTGGCTTTGCCTAGAGCAGCTTGGCAGTGCTGTGCTCACATTCCCTGTTCAGGGACTGCAGAATTCCTCACCCTGCCTCTCCGGGTGTTGAGTGCCTTCAGCCCTCCTCCCCTGGCTCTCCCCACAGCGGCAGCTGGAAGGTGTTCACGGGCAATGAGCTGGCAGCCCTGTTTGGCTGGTGGATGTTCTCCTGCTGGAAGGAGAACTGCCCCCCAGACGCTGACGTGAGCAATGTCTACATGATGGCAACCACGGTCTCCTCCAAGATCCTGAGGGCCATTGCACTGAAAGAGGGGTTTCACTTTGAGGTGAGTGTGGGTGCTGTGGGGCTGTCCCCATCCAAACCCTGCTCATGGGGTGAAAAGTGGGCAGGGGACATCCAGGGCTTCTGGCTGTGAGTTGGTAGGGATTCCAGCTTGCAGAGGGTCTTCTTGCACCCACGTGAGCCTGATCTCAGTCTCCTCATTGTTGTGGGACTGGGGGATCAGTGTGGGCAAAGCTCAGTCCCAGGGACACGAATGAACACCTGGATTGCATGTAACAGCAATGCCTTAGCTGTGGTTATCTGAAATCCTGCTGTGTGAGAGAGGGGGATTTGTGCAGCCTGCCCTGCTCCCTCTGAGTGTTGATGGGTTTGTAAGGAGCACTTGGAGCTTACACAATGGCCCTTCAGGTGCCCTGTGCCAGTGGGTTGTGATTTGGGTTTGCTTCAGGCAGAGGTGCTCCTGTGTTCAGACCTTTAATGCACAGCTTTGTGAAGAACTTGCTGAAAAAGAAACTGGGGTGCTCCCCCCAGACTGACAGTCCAGCTCCTGCATCCAAATTAAATGTGATTTCTGTGAGCCAGAAGATGTTAGCCAGAAGAGAGTTAAGTGCCTGAAATCATGGCACAAACATACAAAGGGCCAGGCCTCGTTTATACATGTCTTAATTAATGCCATGTGCAATAGGAATAAATGTTTTGCCAAAAAATGAGGAATTTAAAATTGAAAGGAGCTCTGAAAACCATTTTGAGTGACTGGCCAGATAATCAGGGTGAATGTCAGTTCCCTGTACTGGGTTTAGTTCTCTCTCTAAAATACTGTTTGTTTTGGGTTTTTTTAATTGGAAAATGACATACTTGACTGAAAGAAAAAGAGAAGCTAAGAATTTACAGAACCGCTTGTCCTTCTCTAAAATCTCCCCTTCCTTTTTATTTCTAACTTCCTTCTCTCCAAGAAAGCTGTTTCCAAGCTTTTGGCTGCTTTTGCATGATTTATGTAAACACCCTCAGAACATGGCTCTCCCCTGCCAGCAGCTAAAAGTGTTACTTTTATATTTCTGTGGCTTTTCCTCCTGAATAACTGTGTCTCATCTGGTGAGCAGCACAGATGATCTGATGTGATCTGAGCACCACAGCCCCTGACACACTTTTCCCTTGGTTTGGTACTCGTGTCCTACTTGAGTATCCACTAGGAAAATCCTTTCCAGTGGCTCTTTGCCTTGGACTCATTATAAACTGAAGATGCAAATTGTCTGATGCTTCTTTACTGTCCCTATTCTGCTGGTCAATTAGATTTAAATTTAAGGAAATCACTTTAAAAAACCCCAGAAAAACTTCCTTAAGCTTTAGTGTTTTGACTCTGCAGCAGTCTTTCCCATTGACCCTAAAATTCAAAATATATTGTTATATTTTCTCTTTGGTGTTTTGGTGGTTTTTTTTGGTTGGTGTTTTTTTTTTTTTTTTAGTCTGAAGTGAACAGTGGCTATACTTTTTTTCTTGTAATTGAATCTAAATTGAAAATAAATATTTTAAGCACTCCCTTTTTTCCCTTCCTCTTTTAGGAAACACTCCCTGGTTTTAAATGGATTGGAAGCAGAGTGAAGGATCTCCTAGACAATGGAAAAGAAGTTCTCTTTGCATTTGAGGAGTCTATTGGTATGAGTGCTGGTATCCCTTTAAACTGCTGAGAACTAAGAGGGGAGTGTGACTAGGAGGGACTGATCTTACCTTTGAAATAAACCACACAGAAAGTGGACTTTTTTTTATCCTAATAGCTAATAGCATTGATATTGTGCTCTCACCAAATTGACTTGCCAACTCCCATTATAAATTGTACCTGACTTGCTGATTCTGGTGTTTGCTTATCTTTCCAGCCCTCTAACCCACAAAATCATTAGATTAGATGAGAAATCATTAGATTTCTGCTGCCTAAGCAGCAATAAAGCAGCCTCCATGTCCTGGCCAATTTTCCTTTGCAGGATCAAAGGTTAGAGCTTCAGTCAGGTAAATCAGAGTGATAACCTGTCAGGTTATTTTCCCACCATCCCTTTTTTCTTCCTAGGCTTCATGTGTAGCACATCAGTGCTGGATAAGGATGGAGTGAGTGCAGCCGTGGTCATTGCAGAAATGGCAACTTATCTGCAGAGCCAGGGCCTGACCCTGGCACAGAAACTCGTTGACATTTTTGAAATGTGAGTGGTGGTTTTCATTAGAATATTCTACTCTGCTGTTCTGGAGCTGGGAATCCTCTAAGGAATATTTACTTAAATATGAGTAAATGTTTGTGTCCCTCAAATGCTTTCACATTGTAAGTTGTTTTGGGGTTTTGGTGTAGGATGGATTACAGCCCATCATGGGTGCAGATATCACAAGGGGTTCCAGGCAGGCTGGAGGAGGGATTTGGGACAGGACACAGGGAATGGGTTCCCAGTGCAAGAATGGATCTGTAACAGAGCAGGAATGGCTGGGGATGCAATCCAGCAATAAAACAAGGGTGCTGTTTGTCAGAATTAAGCCCTGTACTCAGATCTTTTGGGTCCAAATGAGCCCAACCCCTCAGAATGTCACAATGAGAGCATCAATGTGCTTGCAGGTATGGCTATCACATCTCCAAGACCTCCTATTTCCTGTGCTACGACCCTGCCACCATCAAGAAGATATTTGAGAGGCTGAGGAGCTTTGAGGGCCCCGAGTCGTACCCCAAGAGCTGTGGGGCTTACAGCATCCTGCACGTCAGGGACATCACCACGGGCTACGACAGCAGCCAGCTGAACCACAAGTCTGTGAGTTACTGAGTGTTTGTGCAGGGCAGGGATGCGCAGACCCAAATGCCTGGGGAGGAGGCAGGTGTGGGACGTGGTGCTTACTCTGACACACTGGCTGCTGTTCACTCATTGAGCCTGGGGCTGCTGCTGGGGCGCTGAGGGGCTGCTGCTGTGTTGCAGGTGCTGCCAGTGAGCAAGAGCAGCCAGATGATCACGTTCACCTTCCAGAACGGCTGCGTGGCCACGCTGCGCACGAGCGGCACCGAGCCCAAGATCAAGTACTACGCTGAGATGTGTGCTGTGCCCGGGCACAGGTCAGTGTGCCAGCCTGCTCCTGCCCTCAGCAGAACACCCACAGGGGGCTCTCGGCCTCTGCTGCAGCAGGGTTCTCTAACAAACCCGGTTCCCCCGTTACTTAGGGTTAACAAGTGCTCAGGTGACAAAGTCACGGAATTGTTCAGGCTGGGAAAGCTCTCTGAGGTCAGAGTCCAGCCTGTGACCAACCCTCACCTTGTCAGTGGGACCAGAGCGTCACATCCAGGCTGTTCTCTCTCTGCTGGGGTTGTGTTTGCAGCCAGGTGGGCTCCCACTGCCTTTGGCCATCTGCTGTGTCACCCTGAGCTGTGGGAGAACAACCAGGTGTTGTTCACCTGGGCTGAGCCACCTCCAGTTTAAAACGGGGGGGGGAATCGAGGGTGTGTTCACAGCACAGAAACCTCCTCTTCATGATTATGGAATCACGGAATGGCTGGTGTTGGAAGGGACCTTAAAGACCATCTTGTTCCACCCCTCTGCTGTGGGCACCTTCCACCATCCCAGGCTGCTCCAGCTGGGCCTTGGACGCTCCTGGGGTGGGGCTGCCCTGGGCAACCTGTGCCCGGGCCTCACCACCTGTTTATTGTGGTATTAATTGAAATTAATTTAATTAGAGGAGAAAAAGGCCACTAGAGGGCTCTGGGCACCATCTTTTCCAGTCCCTTCCAGCCAAGCCACGATAACCGTGCTGGAAAGGAGCTTGTTAAAGCAGGAGTCCCCGCACCTGGCGGGGTGGGAAACACAACAGAGCAAGTCCATCCCCATCGGGTGTCACTGTTGGTTTGTTGATTTAATTCTGGGCATTGCCCAGCCCTCTGACCCGGGCCTGTTCTCTCCTGCAGTGACAGAAGTGTTCTGGAAGAAGAGCTGCAGAAGCTGATAGAGGCTCTGATTGAAGAGTTCCTGGAGCCTGCCAAGAACGGGCTGACCTGGCGCTCTGCGTAGAGCCCGGGCAGGGAGGCTTGGAACAAAGGACCCAGGAGCAGAACCAGTCCCATCTCTGTGTCTGTGTGTGTGTTTCAAACAGCTGCGTTCTTGTTCTGTGCAGAAGAAGCTTTCTTTTGTCAGGCTTTTCACCAAACTGGGACAAGGAGAGGAGCTCAGAGGAAAGGGTGGGATTTATTGCTGCAGTTTTCAGTCCTTTTGACCAAAAGTTTAATTAACCCACACCAATGCGAATGAACTGCCCGGGTACCTTTGAGGCAGCTGAGCTTAGCTGCCACATCTTGTCTTAAACTCAGTTCAGGTACCTGAAACACCTCTTTTTGTGTGTGAGAAAAGGTTTTAAAGTTTTAAAGGAGTGATCACTCCACACTGACAGCAAAGGCTGCTGCTTCCCTGCAGCTCTGAGACCTTCCTTACAGGTCTGCACTTCCAAAAGCATCCAAGCAGAGCTCAGCATTTCTTGTGTAGGCAAATGGTTGGCATTTTTCATCTAGTTAAGAGTTCTTCTGTTGGTAAAGGTGTTCTTGGGCATTGTAGCTTTCCTGTGTGTGTCTTAAAATAATTGGCAGTGAAACAGTAGTGGCAACAGCTGCAGCTTGGGGTTGGAGTTGCCTGGTGCCTTTCCAAGGCTTCCAAAGGAGCAGGAACTTGGTCATTCCTTGGTAAAATTGCCCCTTCTGACTACCACAGGCTCTGCAGCTACTTTTTGTCACACATCTCTGCAGGGCTTTAAGCTTTCTTGATTTTCTGTATTCATTACTTGATTTAAATGCTAGTCAGTGACTTTATGGTTTTTGCTGGCCTGTATTTATATTGTCTGTGTATTAAAAAAAAAAAAAAAACCAACCAAAAAAACAAGGAAGAAAGTGAAGATAAGACTAACACAGTTACTAAATTGTGACTTCTTAATTTTTTTTTGTCACGTCCTGTCAGGTAATTTGTTAGAATAGCACTTTGCAAATACTGTTATTCAAGGGTAAATTTTCAACAGCTTCTCTCATTTGTTTCCTCCCTTTGCTCAAATAGCAAGTGGGACTTGTAATCACATTTTCCAAAAACACCACCCAAACAGATGCTCAAGTTCTCCCTGTGGTTATATTGGGTTTTGGGCAATCAAGGCCCTGTTTTGGCACAGGGGAGCTGGTCCTGGCAGCTCCCTGCTGTCACTGGCAGCAAGTGAAGAGAAGCAGCAGCAATTCAGAGCTGGGTTTGATCTGTGTGGAGGTGATGGGGCAAGAGCCCAGGGTGCCCTGGAGTTGGAGCTGTTGTTTTGCCACTATTGCTGCCTCTCCCAAGTGATCCTCCCTCTGCTGGGTGCCACAGGGTGGGTTGGTGTGTGTGTTGCCTCTCCATGGCTCCAGAGAGCCCTGAGGGTTTGGGGTTTCCTGCTGCCAGCAGCTTTGCACTATGTCCATGGAGAAGCATTTCAGTGTCTATGAATGTACGCGTACTAGAGAAGGTCTGTGTTGCACAAGTTCTGACCTGTCACTGCTATTTATTTATTTTTTTGTGTTTTAAGAGAAAGTATCTCCAGCTTGTTCTGCCCGTGAGTGAAATGTATCTCATGCCAAAAGCTTGGGTTTCTTCTACCTTGACTGTACATTTGACTGACATGGTGGGGAAAACAGGCAAACCCCGACACACTCGGAGGAGGATTTTGTTGCTGTCAGTGCTGGCTAGGGCTGGGAAGGCATTTCTGACTGCTGCTCTGCCTTCAGCTCTCCCAGAAAGGGTGCAGATGTGGATCCCCACTGCACTGAACTCGAAGGAGCTCCTGCCATGCCTTCCATTGGCAGCAGAGTAAACCCTGAGGCGCTGAGGGTTCTGTTCTCCAGGCAGCGAAGAGAACAAGTGACTTGGGACATAATTTTGAACAAACAAACACTGTAAAAAGCGTAGTGTGTGTGTGGTGAGCCCAGCTGTGTGTTATTGTAGCAGTCTTGTGAGTGATGGCTGTGCTCCCACAAAGAGCAGGAATCTGCAGCTTCCCAGAGATCTGCTTTGTGTCAGTAGGCAAGTGCTAGAAATGGAGAAAATGTTTTCAAAGAGCATTGTTAGAAGCTGTTCCTAGTCTAACTATGCTTAATTAAAGAAGAAAACCCAGCTGTGGGGTGTTTTGTGTCTGGGATTTTGCCCATGGGTGGGTCTGACAGGGAGCTGGAGCTGTAGTGATGCTTTTGGGAGGACAGCAGCAGGCACAACATGTTGAATGTCCTTTCAGGGTATAATTACTATTTGCTGTTTTGAAACTGCTGCTACTGTTGTTTTCCTACTGTATTGGAACTGTTTGATATATTTATACTGTTCCATTTGTGGAACTCCTTTATCTCCTCCCTCTGTTCTTGCATCCCTTACTTCTGTTTCTGTGAAGGACTGGAATTCTTGTTTCCTTGCCCTGTAACTTTGTAATGCATCGTGGTAGAGTTCGCTGGGTTTGTGCACAGCCTTTCCTCGAGCTGTCAGCTGTTCTTTGCCACTTCTCAGAAAAGAACAAAGGCCTTCCTGCCTTGAGTACAAGCGGGTCACAGATCAAAGGGTGCCGTGGATGTTGTTTCTGAGGTGCTTCCAGGTAAAACACACCTTGTCAGAGCTGGGCTGTGGCTGAGGCTGTGGTCATACAGATACTACTGTGTTGGGTTTAGTGTTTGATAAAATCCAGAGGGCTGGGGTTTGTCCCCCAGGTTTAATTTCTGAAGTTGTGTGTCCGTGGGCCTGGGACAGGAGCTCTCTGAGTTCAGGGCTCTGTTGGTTGTCTCCATGCCCACATCCCTGGTGGTGCTCAGGTATCACTTTGTGTGCCCTCCCTGCCAGGCTCCTGAGGGTGCTGGGGGTTCCAGCTCCCATTTCCTTGCACAAGTGTTTGTGTGACTCTGGTGGAAGCCAGGCAAGGAGCGATTGGTTGTGTCCCTTGGGCAGGCTGGGATGTGTGTGCTGCCTTAGGAAGCACTGGATGGTCTCTCATTTTAAAACTGGTATCACTTTGTCTTCCCCTTTTTGTCCTCTCCGCAGCTGAGAGAGGGCTCCTTGCATGGTGGCACTGGGTGGTTACAGTCCAGCTTGGTTCCCTCTGCTCAAGAATGGCTTTGTACAGGTGACTGAGGCATCCCAAGTTGCATCATTCCCCTTGCCTGGCACCTGGGGGAGTTCTGGATCTGTACTGCTGTTTACCTGGTGTCTGTTCTGTAAAACTGGGGTGTATTACAAATACAGAGTGAGAATTTGCACTTTTCTGGAGACTTTCTGTGTACTGCTATGTGGAATTAGCTGAAAGAAGTGTTATAAGTAATAAACTATTCCCTTTGTAGTCTCAAACCAGGTTTCCTTGTCTTCTTTAGCCAAACACTTGTGCCCCAGAGGCTGAGCTGGGCTTGGAGGGGTATCCATGTGCCTCCTGGATAAGGCCTGGGAACAGGAGACTGCTCAGAGCCTCCTGCTTTTGGTGGCACTGAGATGTCCCTGGGGCTGATGGGGACAAGGTGTCCCCTCAGTGATGGTTGCAGCTTTCATCCCGGGGGATCCTGTGTATCTGCTGTTGTTTTATCTGCCAAGGCTGCTCTCCCTGAGCTCCTCTCCTCCTCCCAGCTCAGCGTGGGGACAGCCAAGGGCCAGGCAGGACCCCTGGCAGCTCAGGGTTGGGCTGCGCTTCAGCAGGGAGAGGGGGAGCCCCGGACCGGCACCTGCTGTCCTTGTCCCTGCTGAACACAGACATTTGTTCCAGGACAGCGGGACTGTGCTGGTGCAGCCTCCTCGGGGCTGGTGGGAGCAGTGTGGGGGAGCAGAGCATCTCCTGGAGGCTGCAGGGTCCCTCTGTGCTGCTGGCACATGCACCAGGGAGCGGCCAGGGTGGCTGGAAGCTGATGAGTCCTGGCAGGCAGCAGCGCTGGCTTCGCCTTCAGGTCTTGTCAATTTAAATGTTAATTCGGTAACTAAATTAATTACCAATGGGCTGAGCCCAGCCTCCGTGGGCTGGGCTCTCTGGATTCGCCCTGCTTGGCTGCTCCTTGCTGGGGGAGGATGTGGCTGGGGAAGGGCTGGGTGCTCCCTGCTGTCCCATTCTGGGAAAGCTGAGCAGTGCTGTCTGGAGCCTGCTGGAGCACCTGCGATCCCACCTGAGGGCCTGGGGTGGCAGTGGGACCCTAGCTCAAAACCTGGTCCCCAGAGGGAGTCAAGGGGAGCCCCTCAAGTGCAGCTTGCCAAAAGGGAAACTGAGGCACAGGGCAGAGAGAAATGGGCTCAGGGACCATCCTGCCCGTGCAGAGCAGCATTTCTGAGGCTGTCCGGCCTGAACAATTAGAAGTGATGAGGAGCATCTAAAAATAGGGATTTGTAAATGTCAGGCTGGCGAGTGGCTGGGCACGTGCTGGAGGACAGAGCAGCTCTGCAGCCTCTCTGTGCCCGTGTGTCCTCAGGCAGGACGGGGATCTGGGGTGAGCCTGGCTCCCTGGGAGCTCCCCGAACCCCCCAGAACTGCCTGATGGGGGTCAGCCTGCACACCCAGCACCAGAGGCATCTTTTGGCTGTTTGATCCTGACAGGAGCTGCACAGGATCCCAGCCCTGCTTTGGGAGGGGGACACCAGGCCCTGGACACAGGTAATTTTCCACTGACTTTGGATAGGAGCAAACACCAGCAAAGGCCTGAGGCCCCATGGATGACCCCAGCCTCAGGATCTGGGTGCTGTGCTGCCACAACCGCCTCAGATATCCAAATCCCCTGTCTGTGCGGACATGGGAGCCTGCTGGCATAGGGACACCCAGCAGATGTGATCCCCTCCATCTCCTCCACCCCTGCCAGCTTCTCCCTCATCCCCAGAACCCCACCTGTCCCCAGCGTGCCAAAAACTTGCTTCAAACAGCTGGGAACAGAGGTTTATTTGGAAAAGTAATCCAGATTGGGGCAGATTAGTGGAAACACGTCCTTCCCCATCTGCCTGGGCGCTGCTGTGCCAGCTCCCTGCGGGGCTGCCTGCAGCCAGGCTTGGGGAAAGCATACAGGGGCTTTGGCCTGTCCCCTGAGCACCCTGGCCCAGCTGAGTGTCCCCAGCCCCTCAGGAGGAGTCCCCTGATCCCTGGTGGTGTCACCTCCAGTCCCTCCTCTTGCTGGGGACAGGTCTGTGCTCAGCCAGGAATGCCCATCTCCCAGACACATCCCAACCTGGCTAATTAGAAACATCCACAGGCAAACAGGAGAAATCCTTACTGACAATCCCGCTTCCTTTGGCAGGACACAGGAGCCACCCCTGAAGCAGAGGAAGGACAAACAGAGCGCTGTCCTGGGCGAGGTGATCCCAAACCACCAGTGTTTGAAGGGAACCCTGCTGAGGACTGAAATCCATTTCTGTGCGGTTTTCCCCCTGTGCAAACCTTTCCCTGCTATCAGGAGCTCCGCTCTGCTTTGTTTGTGCCTCAGTTTCCCCAAGGTATGAAGGTGGCATCCCTGTCTTGCTTTTCCTAAAGGAATCAGTGAAAAGCAGAGGGTCTTTTTCCTCCCTCTGATGGTTTGGGTTAATTTGTGAGGAGGGAGGAAGGAATGTGAGGAATAAGGACCCTGGTGTGTAGGCTGTGAGGGGTGAAGTTGCTTGGGGAGAATTAATTATCATTAATTTTGTGTTTCTGTAAGGACAAGGCAGCTCGTGGCTGATTTTCTTCCCTGCCCCAGTGCAGGAGCACTGCAGCCCTGTGCTCAGCAAGGACAAGGGTGATGCTCCAGCCCAGCTCTTTCTCCTGGATAAATCCAGCTGCCATCACCACACAGGGAGTTTTGGCCTCTTCTGCACTACAGGAGACCCACACTCAGCCTCTTGCCTGCAGCCCTGGGCGCCTTGGGCTGCCAGGAATACCCTGGTTTGGTGACAGGAGCACCTGAATGTCCCTAGGATGTTCTGTGGGCTGGGTGCAGCCAGGGCTGCCCACCCACATCCCCTCCCTAGCCAAACCTTCCTGCTCACCCGCTGGATCAGCCCAGGGAACCTCTGAGCTTTGGAAAATAAGGAAGGAAAAGCACATCTCAAAGCCTGTGCTGGCTGCAAAGCACCGGTGCCATTTCACATGCAGGGCATAAAAATAGACATGTTTTAGCTTTTTTCCCCCTCTGTTTTGGTGATGAGCCACTGCAGGGGGCTCTGAGCATGCTTTGCTTGGTTCCCGTCACGGCTGCTGTTTCTATCCTGCATTTCCCTCGGCTCCAGGAGCTGCTGGGGTGACTTTGTGCTCCTGCCATGAGCTCAGGACACGGGGAGGTCTGCATTGCTTCATGGAAAGGGACAGCATGTAAATGTGATGGCAGCTGGGGTTCTCCAAACACGGAGCTGTCTTTGAGAGCCCAAAAAGCACATTTTGAGTCTCAGCTCAGTGACCATGCCCTAATCCAGAGGTTCCCTACTCCTGCCCCTTTGTCATGTGTGGGGTATGTGCTGTACAGAATAATATTGATGCTGACAAGCCACAGGAACTGTGCTCGCACAGCTTTAGCTTTATCCATCCCCATCCTACCCCCTGCCGGAAGGGTCTCACTGCACCCAGTCAGGAGGGCCAGGCTGGTCTGAACCTGTTGGTGCCCAAAGGAGATGTGTCCTCATGCCAGGGCACCAAAAGCCACCACCTCCCTCCCTCTGGCCTCGGGAAAAGCTGGAGCCACCAGATGCCCACACCAGCCACCCCTTCAGAGAAAGGGCTTTGGGGTCAGGCAGTGTTTGGCCACTTCTCCATTTGTCTGGAGGCGATTTCCTTCCTGTTATCTATCCCAGAGCCTGGCGCCTGCTGCCAGACTGGTGCTGTGTTCCCTGCTCCAACATCCCCCTTCTTTCTCCCTGCTTCCTTCAGGCTTCTCCCTGCACCATGCTCACCCTCCCCATCTCTGTCCCCATGAATGGATGCCGGAGTCACAGCTGGGGTGTGCTCTGCCAGATGTGCAAACCCACCCTGCTGCCCCTTCCTTTGCTCAGGGGCTCGGTTTGGCTGCACTGGGGTGGGAAAGGGAGGTGGGGAAGTGGGTGAAGGTGAGGGCAGGCTGAGGTTTCTCCCCTTGTAGCTGGCTGCATGGAGTGACAAGGTGGGACCGGAGGGCTCAAGCTCTGGGGGGAAACCTTAGGAAAAGGTCTTCAAAATGCAACAGGTTTCACAAGGAGCTGAGCCGTGGGGATCTCAGGGTTCCCCAGGAGCCAGGACAGAGGGGAACCAGCTCCCTGCTCAGAACATCCAGGAAAATCATTGCTATTCTCAGTACCGTAACTCGAACACAGCCCAGCCGCAGGCTCTGCTCCCGCTCTCCTTTCCCAGCCGCCCCACCTCGGTACCGGGATTTCATGGCCAGGAATTCCAAAGGGGGAAAATGCAAAGGATGGCGCAGCAGGCTGCATCGCTCCCGGAGCCTCCAGGCATGGAAGGAACCGTGCTTTCCACCCGACAGCGGAGCGCACACGCACTGGAGCTCCAGGAACGCAGCTCCTGCAGAACTCTCCCTTCGGAGCCGGCACACCGGGCACCGGCTGCTCCCGAGCATCCCCGAACACCGGCACGGCCGGAGGCAGCCGCGCTCCCCGCCCTGCCCGCATCACCCTCCCGCTGCGGGGAGAGACAAACGCTCCGGTTTTCATCCCGGCACCGAAACTTGGCATTCTTTAAGATGCCACCTTCCAAAAGCCGCGGCTTCCTCTGGGGAAGCCCCGCAGCCGGAGATGCTCAGAGCGCCGGCACCTCGTGAATGAGGTACCAAACCAGCCGGGAGACAAAAATGGCTTTAGGAAGCTGCTACCTGGGTAATTTTCCCGAGCCCCTGTGCTGCTGCCAGGGAAGGACATGTGTCCAAGCGACACAAAAACCCCCTGCATGCCTGGCCACCAAACCAGTGCAGCAATAGAAGTTCCTAAGCACCGATGAAAGCAGCGGAGCCCAGAGCTCCCTTCCTCGGGCCAACCGAGCACAGTAACTTCGCCTCAGCCGCGGGGACACTCGGAAATCGTTTGCAAGGAGCTTTAGAGAAAATAGACGATGGAGTGGGTGCAGCTTTCGATATATTTGCTCTAGGATATAGTAACAGGCACTAAAGCAAACACAGGCACGGGAATTAGGGCGGGAGCTTCTGCTTGGCTCGTTGTAAATGACAAAGTGCCGAGACAGCCAGGTCTACGCTACATTCTAGAGTCAAAGGGCTGCCCCCGCGTGCCCCGGGGAACATGCACGCAGCCGGCGGAGGCGTTTCCTACAGCTGCAGCGCCGTGTGCCTAGAACGAGCTGGAAATGTCATTGAACACAACTAATGGATAAACGGGCTGGGAAAAGCACGCCGCTTCCCGGGGGGGAGCAGCTGGACGTGTTCTCTTTGCAGCGAGAAGAAAAGGGAGCGAAAAAAAAAAAGAAATCGAGGTAAACTTTGCGCCTGTCAAATAGAAATCTAATAGGAAATAGAGCTGTACATGGTCAAAGTCAAGTCGAGGCTCCAGGAACGTCCAGGACAGTTTCAGGTATTGCCCGCGGCTTCTCGGGCTGCGCCAAGCAAACACCCGGGTGCGAGCGCCGAGCCGCGCATCCCGCCTGCCGGAGCTTCCCGGCGGAAGCTTCCCGGCGCTCCGGGGCCGAGCCGGGCGTGCTCCTCGCCCGAGGGCACCGCGATGCGGGAACGGTCCAGCCTGGAGCCCTGCGGGAACCCGTCGGGTCGGAGAGGGCGCGGCAAGGCGGAGCCGCTCCGGAGCCCTCCAGGGAGAGTCACCCCGCTCTGGGGCACCCCGAGGCCGGCTCATCGGTGGTGCCGCGGGGCCGGGCCGGTGCCGGCTGCTGTCAGAGGCCGGGCGTGCCGGCGCAGCGCGGGTCGGCGTCCTGCTCGTAGCGGTAGTGGTATCCCTCCATCTGGTCGCGGCAGGCCTCGCGCAGGTTGTGCAGCCAGCGCTTGATGCCGCGGCGGTTCAGGTAGAGCACCATGAGGAAGACGACGCCGATGAGCGCCAGCACGATGCCGAAGAAGACGTAGGAGGCGGTCTCGAGCTCGGCGGGCTCGCCGCCGGCGCAGGCCAGCGCCTCGGGCCGCAGGCGGAGCAGCGCCGTGCCCCGCAGCGCCGCCGGCCCCGCGCAGCGCAGGCTCCGCGCGTCGAGCACGCGGTTGGCGGCGGCGCCGCGCAGCCAGGCCAGGAAGGGCCGCAGGCCGCAGTCGCAGCTCAGCGGGTTGGAGGCCAGGCTGAGGCGCAGCCCCCGCAGCTCGGGCGCGTCCAGGCTGCGCAGCTCGGCGGCCGCCAGCCGCTGCAGCGAGTTGTTGCGCAGGTCCAGCTCCTCCAGGCCGGGCGGCAGCAGGGCGGCCGGCAGCGCCTGCAGCGCGTTGCCCGCCAGCTCCAGGCGCCGCAGGCTGAGGTTGCGCAGGGCCAGGGCGAGCTGCTCCTCGAGCGGGGCCGCCAGCAGCGCCTGGTTCAGCTGCAGCGTGCGCAGCAGCGGCGCCCCGGCGAAGGCGCCGGCGGCCACCGAGAGCAGCGGGTTGTGGCTGAGGTCGAGGGTGCGCAGGGCGGGCAGGCCCTGCAGGGCCATGTCCTCGATGGTGTGGATGTTGTCGTGGCGCAGGCGGAGCAGGCGGAGGTCGCGCAGCGGGCGGGCGGCGAAGGCGGCGCGGGACAGGACGCTCAGGTTGCTGCCGGCGATGCTGAGGTTCTGCACGGCGGCCGGCAGCTCCCGCGGCGGCTCCTCCAGCCGCTCGTAGCGGCACTGCACCAGCTCCGGGGTGGCCACGCAGTAGCAGGCGGACGGGCAGGCGGCGGGGGCGGCGGCGGGCGGCACGGCCAGCGGCAGCAGGGCGAGCCCCAGCCAGGGCAGCCAGCGCGGCCCGCCGCCCGCCCGCCGCGCCTGCCTGCGGGCCATGCTGCCCCCGCGGGCATGCAGCGGGGCCGGGGCCGCCGGGGGGTCGCGCCTGCCTCGCCGCAGCCCCCCCGGGCCGAGCTGCCTCCGGCGCCGCGCCCGCACACGGCGGCTCTGCCGGCAGCGCCGGGCGCGCCGCTGCCCAAATCGGCCCGGGGGGGGTGGAAGGGGAGGAGAGCGAGGAGGAGGAGAAGGAGGAGGAGGAGGAAGAGGAGAAGGGGACAGGTTGGGGCTGCCCGGCGCCGCGCGATGGGCTGGGGAGCGCCGCGGGCGGCGGCCGTCGGGGGGAGCCGAGCCGGGCCGGGCTGAGCCGGGCTCGGCACCGAACCCACCGAGCCCCCGCCGCCGCTGCGGGCTCCGGGGGGCTGCTCGGGGCTGCCGCGGCCCCCGTGCCGCCCGAGGAGGGATCAGGAGATGCCGCGGTCCCCGCCAAGCCCGGGCACGATTTGGAGGCTGTCCCGGTCCTTTCCCAGCCAGGTGGGCGTTGGCGGCTGCTGCGGGGTGCCCCCAGCCCCGGGGAGGGAATGGGGGCTGTCACGGGGGCTCTCCGTCCCAGGGAGGATTCGGGGAATTACCTCCGACCCCTTCCATTCCAGGGAGGAGCTGGGGGGGTGTCTCAGGATCTAGGGGCTGTCCCACTCCCCTTGCAGCCCCGGTCCCCATTCCCCGACCTTCCCCACAAACCGGGCACCCCGCAGCATCCCTGAGCATTGCAGGGTTGTCTCCCCCTGCCTCCAAGCCTGCTTGGTTCCCACCGGCATCCCGGGGCTGCCCAAGGGCTGGGGGGCACGGGGGGATCACAACAGCAGGGCACGGAGGGTGGTGTTGGGGTGGGCACGGGATTTTTGGATGCTGGAGTGATGCACAGCCAGGGACTGGGAGCGCTGTGTTCAGAACCAGATGCAGCAGCAGCTGGGTCCCCTTCAGTGCCTAAATAACTCCATGGACCTGGGCTGGGGTCACATTAAATAAACCCCATCCTGGGCACACAGTCCCAGAATGGTTTGGGTGGGAAGGGACCTTGGAGTGCGTCCAGTGCCACCCCCTGCCATGGGCAGGGACGCCTCCCACTGTCCCAGGCTGCTCCAAGCCCTGTCCAGCCTGGCCTTGGGCACTGCCAGGGATGGGCGTCTCGTGGATCCTGATTTTTCTCCTCCTCCCTGTCCTTATCTCTCATCCTGACCTTTCCCCAAAGTATTTCCCCTCTTACTGGGGTTCCTTTCCCCAGAAGCTCTCCTGAACTTCACAGGGACCAGGTGAAGCGGGGATGCTGCTGTGAGTGGGTGCCTTGAGCTGCTGCTGACCGCCCTGTGCTGCACTCCCAGAAACTGGGCAAACTCTGTATTTAAAGTGGCGGTGTCTGACAGCAGCCAGAGAAACCAAGGGAGCTCGTGGAAGGGTGGGGGAGAGAAACAGACCTGGGAACGTGCCAGGAACTGTGTGCCATCACATCCTGAGGTGTGGGGCAGCATCCAGGGCGGATGAGTGGGGAGAGCCAGGTGTGCAGTGGGTCGTGCTGAGCCAGCACTGCAGCACTCCCAGATGGAGCCTCCTCTCTCCCAAAATAGCGCTTTGCAGCCCATTTATCACATTTAATTGCTATATATAAGGAACTGATGGCACTCTGGAAGACAAGGCAGAGGGTGGGTGAGGTCAGGCCGGGTGAAGCAGGTCCTGGCAAGTCTCACCAGCCGGGCTGTGAAGATCCCGGCACCTCCCAGACCTTCTCCAGGCTCCTTGGACAAGGAGCTGCCATGAAAAGGGCAGGCACCTTCCCTCCCGGTCCAAAAGCCACAAAACACGGCAGCTGAGTGATGCTGGAGGTTGTGGGAGAGCATGAGGCTCTCTGCAGCTCACCCCTTTGACTTTGAAGGGCGGAGATGCTCCAAGGTTTGGAGGGAAGGGTGTTCCAGGGCTGTTCTGCGGCAGGGTGATTTGGGGACGCGGGGGCTCCTGCCCGGTGGCACCGTGGTGCCTTCCTTGCCTGCTGCGGCCGCCTGGGCTTCCCCAGGGCAGAGCTGTGAGCCCTGGGGAGCAGGGCAGTGCCAGTGCGTGCAGCAGCTCCCCGGGCTGGTGTTACTCGTTCCCGGCTGTCATGCTGGATCCTGGAGCCCCTCAAACACGCTGTGTGCAGACCTTCAAACCCCTGGCGGGCTGGCATCGATCTGAGAGCCTCCTCCACCATCCCCCCTGACCGTAATTCTGCATTTGAGGCAGCATTGAAGACTTCCTGTGGTTAAAGGCCGGGAGATTGCGTCTGCCATTGCCATGTCTCAGGATGAGATTAGGTCAGGCTGATGTGATTTGTTCCTACAATTCCACACAGACCGTTACTCATTGCCTCGTTATCTTCTGGATGCTTCCAAGGAGAATTGATTGCTTGTGCCATGTCTGGTGACCTCTGTCAGGCCACCTGCTCTGTGACATTGCTTCTCTCACCCCTCATCAGTGGTGGCCCGGGTTATTTGGGTTTGGCACCCTGGGGATGTGCCAGCACAGCTCTGGTTCCTCTCCCACCCTGTCCCACGCTGGGTTTTTTGCTGCTGGTGCTGCTCTTGTTTGCAGATGGCTTTTTAGTGAAGGCTGGAACAAAAAGGCAGTGAATGCTTTGACTGGTTCCTTCTAGTGATAGAGGGCATCCTTCCTTCCCTCTTCATCCCTCTGTGTTTCCTGCTGCTGCAGACTGGGGCTGAAGGCTCTCCTCGTCCTCCTCTGGGCAGAGAATGGATGGGGAGCAGCCCTGAGGAGAAGGACCTGGGGGTGTTGATGGGTGAAAAACTCCACATGCTCCAGCCCAGAAACCCGGGGCTGATCCCACAGCCTGGACAGCAGGAAGGGGGGATTCTGCCCCTGTGCCCAGGTGAGACCCCACCTGCAGAGCTGCCCCAGCCCTGGGGACACAGCAGCAGCACCTGGAGCTGCTGCAGAGAGCCCAGAGGAGGCTCCGGGTGGGCAGGCCCTGGCACATCTGTGGCTGCCCCTGGATCGCTGGCAGTGTCCCAGGCCAGGTGGGACAGGGCTTGGAGCAGCTGGGACAGTGGAAGGTGTCCCTGCCAGCACTGCAGCATTTGAACTCAGCCATTAACCTTTGCTCAGCCAATGCTGGCAGCAGCTGCCCTTAAAAACCCACACCTGTGACACTGGAACTGCTCATTTCCCTGCAGGACCATGCTTGGAAAAATGCTGGAAAATAAGGAATATTTTTTTTTCAATGTTTCCCACATAAATCTGTTGGAAATAACATTTCTTTCACTTAAAAAAATTCTTCCACCTCTGTTTGGATAGGTTTGGCACTGAAGTCCTGGTTTTGCCTAGTCCTAAGTAATTTCTTTCCCTCTCTTGCTCACACTCTCTTGGGATTACCAAAGGTTTAGTAAAAATCTGCTTTTAAGCCAAGATGGGAGAGTCCCCAGGGTGGTGGAGGCCAACTCCCAGATTTTGTGCCTTGCTCCGGGGATGGTGCTGGGGCTGCAGGTCAGGCTGGGCTTGCCTGGTCCTGGCCAGCCTGTTTCCCTGTGACCTGGCAGAAATTCTCTTCCCCAGCACCAGCAGATAAAAAGAGGGAAATAAAAGCCAGGCCAGGCTGGGGTGTGACAGAAGCAGATGGGGAGAGCACGTCCGTGTGGGTTGTGGCTGGCCATGGTTATCCCTGCAGGAAGAGCTCATCCGTGGCATTGGCAGAGGCCCACTGCTGGCTGGGTGCTCCTCACCGCCTCCTCTTCCCTCTGCACAGCTCCCGCGGTGTCCGTGTGTCCCAGCTGGCACCAGCCGGGCCCCATCTGTCACTTGGGGAATGGGGTGGCTCCTTTTGGTGGCCCAGGCGCCGTCAGCGCCGCTGCTCCAGCCCCTGTAATGGATTCCCTGAGCTGCTGGGTGCATGTTTCAGATGGTATCAGAGCTGCTGCATTTAACCATTGCAGGCTGGCCAAGGCAGGGCCAGGGGGCTGCTCCTCGTTCGTGGTCACAGCGCTATGGAGCAGGAGCTGGTTCCTGCAGGGCTGGAGGAATGGGAATGCCGTGGATCAGGAACCCCTGCAGACACCAGGGTGGTTTTTCCACCCCAGATAAGTGGAACCCTGCAGTGCTGGGCTGTGCTGGCTTCCCTTCCAAGGGAATAGGGCTTTGGGAGCCCGAAGCCAGACTTAGCTTTGCTGTGCCCAGGGCCCAAGGGAGAAAAGGCCACCCCAGCCCAGCAGGCAAATAACAAATCCCTCACGGCAAAGCCACAGGATGCAGGAGGGGAGGGATGGCCCCTCCTGAGCCCGGGGGTGTTTAACTGCTCTGCTCAACCCAGGCATCCAAAGGAGAGGGCACCCTCTCCCCCGCCGCCCGCAGAGCCCCGTGCGTGCTGGGAATGCTCTATAAATACAAGGGCAATAAATAATGGATAACCTGGATGGGCATTAAAGTGTAAACAGGAGGTGAAGGGCTCTCTCCCATTACCGGTCCCCCGAGAGCCAGCGCAGCCCTCTCTCCGAGCCCTGCCTGATGCTCCTCCAACTGCAGAGCCCTTAGTCACAGCAGTGACAATAGCATAGATCAGTGGCTCCAGAGTTGGCAAAAACAAACCAAAAATAGTCCGAGGGCAGAGTCTTCCTCCCGATGGCGTGCTGGATTCGCCTGCATCAGCGTTTTTGGCTGATGCTCCTCTGCCTGCGTGGGCTGACCCTCCCAAGGAGTCACAGTCCTCTCCCTGGCACGCAGCTCGGGAGTGCCCCTGATCTGGGAGGTTTTATCCCCCCTGGATGCAGCTGAAGCGTTGAGCCATGCCGGCTGGATATGGTCCCCAAAAGTCACTGCCCTGTGGCTGAAGGTGGCCCCATTCCCAAGCTGGGGAGATTGTCCCTGTTGTCCACAGATGGTCTCAAGGGGTGGCATGAACACCCACCTGATGTGCAGAGAAACAAGGGGATTAAATGAATTTGTGGATGTGACATGGGATCATCTCGGGAGGAGGCTTGTGCTGGGAGTTGAAGGAGGGGCTGGTCGCAGTCAGGCAGGGT